TGGGAAACAGATTTTGCAATATAGAGATTTTCTTGCTGTTTTGTTATTAAAGGATTTGATCTGTGTATTTATCTTTTTCTGTATTAGCAAGTAGACTTTCGTAGTGTGAGATTTCTCATGACAGTTTCCTAGTTATCTCTGTAAAGTGAGTACCATATAGTAACATTTCAGTTATATATTGCATCATACAAAATAGTATATTACATTTTAAGATACCCAGAGTAATTCCTTCACAGATATGCGATTCCTTCACATCCTTGACCATCCATGTCATATATTTTCATAACTTTAGCCGATAAATCCCCATCCCGGTGTGCTATGAATTATACATAGTCAAATTTTATTATATACTTTGTTTGATTGTTTAGATTCTTATCATCCCTTTTGAATAAGTTTATGAGTTGTCAAAGGGAAACAAAATGCTTAAACTCATAATGTTATGAGTTTTATGTGAACAATGAGTGCAGACATACCAAACAACACAGGGAAAAAGTCAAAGTAACAATGCATGACTGGAAATGCACTCCACAAAAATGTCTGGGTCAGAGAAAACATGTTAATGCCACCATGTAAATATCCTATTTCTTTTCCAAAGCCTTCTATCTACAATAAGCTTTCTTAGAGAGTAAGGTCATTTTGGTCAAATATAAATAGTCATTCTACAGAGATGCCAGGGACTTGACAATTTTGGTGAACTTCTAGAAATTTAACAATGTCAGAAAAGCTTTTGCAAAGTTCTAATACAAAAAAAAATGACCTACATCTGAAAGTAGCAAAAGTTTATTAACATCTAATGTGGCTTCTGGATTCTGCGACTTGTTGAAAACATTTCTGTTTTTCTTTGTTGATAGTTGAGATTTGCCCAGAGAGTAATGGCTGGTTTTAATAATATTTTTAACTTCTGCTACTATTTTCATCTATTTTTCAAGTTTTTCTTAAACAGGAAACCTAAGATAATTTTTCAGGTTCACAGACAGATTTGATAGACTTCTTAGCAATAAAGTTAAGAGTATTTAATTAATTCTTCTATCAGCAGACAGCAACAGATAAGGGGTTTGTTTCTTTTTAAAAATGTCTCTTCCTGTTCCATTTTATAAATTCATTTTTAAATGAGCATGATTTTTTTCTCAGACTTCACTTACCTTTTTTAACTGTGCTTCCAATTTGCTACATTCCTCTTTCTTTTGTTCGATGGCTATTTCTAGAGACTTTAATTTGGAATCCCTTTTCAGCCCTGCAGAGGCTAATGAAGATGCATGTTCTTTGAGGTCAATTAAACTAGACTGAAAGAGAAAGAATGTGAGTGAGTAAAACACTGAAATTTCTACTAGCAATGCCTTCAATTTGAACACATTGATTCTATACATAGCAATAAAGTGTGCAGTAGACAGAAAGGGTAAATATAATCTTACTAAGGTAACAATAGTCAGCTTTGGTCAGGAAATTAAAGTTGGCCAGCTTACAGAATGAGTAGGATCTAATTGCCGTAGAATCAAATGTGACCAAATGGTGTGGTCAGTAAATGCATGTTTCATGTCTCAAAGTCATGCTAATGATGTAAGTCCCAAGGTGGTCTTTACATGTCATAGCAAAACAGACACCCTGAACCTTCCATTTACATTTATTGCTGTCAGACTATGCAGACTCTGAGACATATATGAAAGAAAATACTGACTTTAATGCTTCTGCTCCCAAGAGCAAGTCAAACATAAAAGAAGCCTCCTATTACGTTTTTATCAAATCCCATCTCTTTAACAGAGAAACGATCAATGGTTTTACAAACATCTTCTGGAAAATCAAACATAAAATTATTTTAAAATTTAGAGTAAACTTTATGTTCACGTCCTTTGCAATCTAGATTTGACAGTTGTGATGAATCTTTCCAACTCAGACATGGGGTTACCTAAATTGTTCCAGTCACTAAGCATGTCCAGAAACCAACAGGTTCCACATATAGTCTGAATTCCAAAAACTAAAGAAATAAATACTTGCATATATCACTGAACGTGACTTTGCAACCTAAAAGAGCAATGTTTGTCATTGAATAAGAAATAGCAACATCTAACTATGTGACTGAGATGTACAGGTTTTACCCCAAAACAGACTCCATGCATTTCCTTCTTACTCATTTGCATCACCTAGGAAGACACTAAGGACACAATGGTCTCTCTGTAAACGATGTCGGCTAATAATTTATGCTGGGTGGCTTCATTGGCACTGGAATGACCTTTATGATAAAAGTCACCATCATCCAGCAAGGTGCTTCTAAAACCCTCTGAGGAACAGGTGAGCAATTCTCATTTTTCACATCAGGAAACAGAGGCTTACAACAGCTGAGCATCTTGTCAAAGGTCTCTTAGCTAGTAAAGGCAGATATAGGTCTCAAACCCAGGTCTACAATTCCAATTTCAATGTCCTTTGTTATATAATTCCCACAGAAATAAGAAAGGACATTATAATCCAGTCACTTTGTCATGGTGAAGACTATCATCACTCCAATTAAATCATAAGCTCCCTGCTGACGGCAACTGCATATTGTTTTCCTTTATCAATTTTAAATTGCCGGATGCAATAGCCAGTTTTAATCAACTTGGCTAGGTTCTAGTCCCCAGTTATTAATCTAGGAGTTGCTAATAGAAGGCATTTTGTAGACATGACTAAAATCTACCATCAGTTGACTTTAAGTAAAGGAGATTATCCTCAGTATTCTGTGTGGGCCTGATCCCATCAATTGAAAGGCCTATGAGCAGAATTCAGGTTTCCCTGGGGAAGAACAAATTCCACCCATTGATTGCAGCATCAGCTTCTGCGACCTTCCAGTCTGCTTTTGCTGATGGCCTGTTCTGTGAATTTTGAATTCGCCTAGCCTCCGTAACTGTGTAAGCCAATTCCTTATGATAAAGCTCTTAATCTGTAGAAAATGCTTAACGTGGTTCTGTTTTTCTGGCAGAACCCTGACTGACACACCCAGCCCAGTGCCAAGCACATCATGCAGAAACAACAAATGTTTACCAAAATGTCTATCTGAAAGTCATACAACGTTGGCATTATTTACAAAACTACTTTCACTTACAGCTTATGCTCCACCACGTCATCAAGATCTCTTTCCATTAGAAATATATACATTGATTTTAAGGTGCAAGCCCACAAATAACACCCGCAACTGGAGAAGAATATGCTATAAACAAAGTCAAAGCTTTCCTATCTTCTGTCGCATACAAACTAAGGCATCACAGATCCTCCAACTCAGAAGCAGCAGTGGAAGCTAGGAAGAGAACTCCATTCTTTATTTTCGTAACAAAGAAGCTCCTTTCTAAAAAATAAGTAGGTTTAAATTTTAGGAAATACAGATTTTATTTCTGGGTTTCCTCGAAACTCCTCTTACTCATCCATTCTTTTCCTTCTTCATCTACATCCCTAATTTATTCAGGACTTTAATTTGTGTGGAATTATCAGTACCCCATGAGTGAGGAAATACTGCGGAGCTGGGAGATAGACAACTGTGCTGCGGTACCGTCCTGCAGGGTGAAAGGTCTATGACAGCTCTAAAGAAGATGGACAGTTACAGCAGACAAAAGTAAGTGTGAAGGGGCCAATTGCAGGCAATCTCCACATATCTCAGAGTTGTGAGGATTAAATAAAATAATGTGTAATTACTGCTTCTCATACTTCTCCACCAAACTATCCCTTTTCTTTGTTGATAGTTGAGATTTGCCCAGAGAGTAATGGCTGGTTTTTATAATATTTTTAACTTCTGCTACTATTTTCATCTATTTTTCAAGTTTTTCTTAAACAGGAAACCTAAGATAATTTTTCAGGTTCACAGACAGATTTGATAGACTTCTTAGCAATAAAGTTAAGAGTATTTAATTAATTCTTCTATCAGCAGACAGCAACAGATAAGGGGTTTGTTTCTTTTTAAAAATGTCTCTTCCTGTTCCATTTTATAAATTCATTTTTAAATGAGCATGATTTTTTTCTCAGACTTCACTTACCTTTTTTAACTGTGCTTCCAATTTGCTACATTCCTCTTTCTTTTGTTCGATGGCTATTTCTAGAGACTTTAATTTGGAATCCCTTTTCAGCCCTGCAGAGGCTAATGAAGATGCATGTTCTTTGAGGTCAATTAAACTAGACTGAAAGAGAAAGAATGTGAGTGAGTAAAACACTGAAATTTCTACTAGCAATGCCTTCAATTTGAACACATTGATTCTATACATAGCAATAAAGTGTGCAGTAGACAGAAAGGGTAAATATAATCTTACTAAGGTAACAATAGTCAGCTTTGGTCAGGAAATTAAAGTTGGCCAGCTTACAGAATGAGTAGGATCTAATTGCCGTAGAATCAAATGTGACCAAATGGTGTGGTCAGTAAATGCATGTTTCATGTCTCAAAGTCATGCTAATGATGTAAGTCCCAAGGTGGTCTTTACATGTCATAGCAAAACAGACACCCTGAACCTTCCATTTACATTTATTGCTGTCAGACTATGCAGACTCTGAGACATATATGAAAGAAAATACTGACTTTAATGCTTCTGCTCCCAAGAGCAAGTCAAACATAAAAGAAGCCTCCTATTACGTTTTTATCAAATCCCATCTCTTTAACAGAGAAACGATCAATGGTTTTACAAACATCTTCTGGAAAATCAAACATAAAATTATTTTAAAATTTAGAGTAAACTTTATGTTCACGTCCTTTGCAATCTAGATTTGACAGTTGTGATGAATCTTTCCAACTCAGACATGGGGTTACCTAAATTGTTCCAGTCACTAAGCATGTCCAGAAACCAACAGGTTCCACATATAGTCTGAATTCCAAAAACTAAAGAAATAAATACTTGCATATATCACTGAACGTGACTTTGCAACCTAAAAGAGCAATGTTTGTCATTGAATAAGAAATAGCAACATCTAACTATGTGACTGAGATGTACAGGTTTTACCCCAAAACAGACTCCATGCATTTCCTTCTTACTCATTTGCATCACCTAGGAAGACACTAAGGACACAATGGTCTCTCTGTAAACGATGTCGGCTAATAATTTATGCTGGGTGGCTTCATTGGCACTGGAATGACCTTTATGATAAAAGTCACCATCATCCAGCAAGGTGCTTCTAAAACCCTCTGAGGAACAGGTGAGCAATTCTCATTTTTCACATCAGGAAACAGAGGCTTACAACAGCTGAGCATCTTGTCAAAGGTCTCTTAGCTAGTAAAGGCAGATATAGGTCTCAAACCCAGGTCTACAATTCCAATTTCAATGTCCTTTGTTATATAATTCCCACAGAAATAAGAAAGGACATTATAATCCAGTCACTTTGTCATGGTGAAGACTATCATCACTCCAATTAAATCATAAGCTCCCTGCTGACGGCAACTGCATATTGTTTTCCTTTATCAATTTTAAATTGCCGGATGCAATAGCCAGTTTTAATCAACTTGGCTAGGTTCTAGTCCCCAGTTATTAATCTAGGAGTTGCTAATAGAAGGCATTTTGTAGACATGACTAAAATCTACCATCAGTTGACTTTAAGTAAAGGAGATTATCCTCAGTATTCTGTGTGGGCCTGATCCCATCAATTGAAAGGCCTATGAGCAGAATTCAGGTTTCCCTGGGGAAGAACAAATTCCACCCATTGATTGCAGCATCAGCTTCTGCGACCTTCCAGTCTGCTTTTGCTGATGGCCTGTTCTGTGAATTTTGAATTCGCCTAGCCTCCGTAACTGTGTAAGCCAATTCCTTATGATAAAGCTCTTAATCTGTAGAAAATGCTTAACGTGGTTCTGTTTTTCTGGCAGAACCCTGACTGACACACCCAGCCCAGTGCCAAGCACATCATGCAGAAACAACAAATGTTTACCAAAATGTCTATCTGAAAGTCATACAACGTTGGCATTATTTACAAAACTACTTTCACTTACAGCTTATGCTCCACCACGTCATCAAGATCTCTTTCCATTAGAAATATATACATTGATTTTAAGGTGCAAGCCCACAAATAACACCCGCAACTGGAGAAGAATATGCTATAAACAAAGTCAAAGCTTTCCTATCTTCTGTCGCATACAAACTAAGGCATCACAGATCCTCCAACTCAGAAGCAGCAGTGGAAGCTAGGAAGAGAACTCCATTCTTTATTTTCGTAACAAAGAAGCTCCTTTCTAAAAAATAAGTAGGTTTAAATTTTAGGAAATACAGATTTTATTTCTGGGTTTCCTCGAAACTCCTCTTACTCATCCATTCTTTTCCTTCTTCATCTACATCCCTAATTTATTCAGGACTTTAATTTGTGTGGAATTATCAGTACCCCATGAGTGAGGAAATACTGCGGAGCTGGGAGATAGACAACTGTGCTGCGGTACCGTCCTGCCGGGTGAAAGGTCTATGACAGCTCCAAAGAAGATGGACAGTTACAGCAGACAAAAGTAAGTGTGAAGGGGCCAATTGCAGGCAATCTCCACATATCTCAGAGTTGTGAGGATTAAATAAAATAATGTGTAATTACTGCTTCTCATACTTCTCCACCAAACTATCCCCAAGAAAACTGAGAGGGTTATAGGGATCGCTTGAAGAATGGAGGAATAGTCCAAAGCACCCTCTTCATAAGCCCCAAGCAAGAATTTCTTTAAAGTGTAAGATGTTACTCTTAAAATACAGGTAGCACTCATATTCTGTATTCATGTTTGCTATGGCATAAAAAAATACAGCTCTAAATTATTTACTACAATGTAAAAATAATATGCCAGAAGAGCAGCCACATTTAAGCTCTACCTTGGGGTCCAGCATGGTACCACATCTCCTAACTTGAGGGAATTGGGTGGTTCCCTTTGAAAAGTACAAATGAATGTAAAGCACTCGACACAAGGAATAGTACATAGCAGACACTCTAATAAAGTAGAGACATTATTATTATAATCATCGCTGCTGTTGTTATCTCAAGCAAGGGATCGTGGGCCTGTGAAAAATATAGAATCCTTTAAGCCATGCAAATGTGGTAAGACATAAATAAAAGTTTCAAGGAGCTACATTGTATATAGTTAGCAGAGCAGAGAAGACAGGCATAGGGCATCACAGATGAAGGAAGTTACCAAAAAAAAAAAAAAAAAAAATCCTTTAAATTCAGGCAGCTTTACAAAAGCAAAGTTACCACATTCCCCAAGCCTTCATATAGTGCCTCCAACTAACTCTCTAGTCTCTTGCAGCTGCACTGAATATGGGTTTATGAGGACTATCAATGTGGTTCATTTGTTTTTCCAGACTCACCTCTTTCTCAGTGAGTTCAGCCTGTAAAGCATTGACCTTCTCTTTCAGGTCTTTGTTCTCTTTTCGGAAGGATTCTATCTCTTCTAGTCTTTCCCGATCATCTCTTTCTCGCTGTTCTTTCAAGCGCTCAATTATTCTCTCCTGTAAGGCAATTAACAAAAAAGAAGAGGTGAGAACCCATCAGTGTATATGCCAAAGCATACTGCAAAAGAAAACAAGAGGCAGTACATCCAAGAAATGCTCTACAGGAATCAACACACACAAGAAACTCAAAATCGGATTCATGGGGATAGGATGTGCATAACAGCACTTGGGAAGGACAACCAATACAGCTTTTGACTTGTTAATAAAAGTTAACATCACAGGGCTGCAAAGGAACTTAATGTTCAAGTTCTGTGGCTGCTCTTGGTTCATGGTAGTATCCAGCAAATTTCTAGAGCAGCTCTAGAACAGGGAGCTTCAGACACCAAGACTCCAGACCCGACACAGCCTCGCACAGGAAAGGAGAAGCAGAACATGCCTCTTGGCTCAGCCCTCTTTGCTTAGCCTCTTCATCTGGCATCCAAGAGCCTTCATTGGTTTCTGAAGACTGTTCTCTGGCTGGATGGGAATGAAGTGGGGCAAGACCCAAACCCTCCAGGACTTAGAGCTGAGACTCATTGTGAGAACTTGAGACAAAGAATCAGCCCATTGTGTATGTGATTTTCCAGTGTGTCTGAGGATGTTTACTTCTCTGTTTTGTCAATGGTTTCTTGATAGTCAGTAGAGACTCCAAAACACTGGCTGAGTTTGAACAAAGTTCAGCAGCAGCTTTATTTTATTGAGGGCTTACTACATGCTAGGCACTGTGATGCGCTCTCCTCATCAGTCCTCATCACAAGCGTAAGGGCAGATCCAGTGCTCTTGGTGACAGTGTAGAGGTGAGGAAACCCAGAGCTCCGAGACGCAAGGTGGCCCAGGTCATGAACAGAAGGCCTCCCACATCCTGGGCTCTCGGACTGTCAGCCACATCCATGAGACCACACTGCCACAAACATACACCTGGAGCCATTCAGGGAGGTCTGCCTTTGACTTTCACACTGAAATGAAAACACTGCTTTGTAGACTTCTTTTCCAAAAATAGAGAACCTGCCTGATATCAAAGTAAGAAACTTACACACACACACACACACACGCACATGAAAATTCCATCTGCATAAAGCTTGAGTTATATTTCTGAAATCAGTTTGAAATTATCCAACACATATCTAAATTTCCTCTTGAATGGTCATGTTAAAAAATACTGGTGCAACAACTGTGGCCAAGGATCCTGATATTATCTTTTATATTCTTATAATAATTGCATAGCACAAGACAATGCCTGATAAATAAGACAACTGTAAAATAGTATTTAATGCAGAGGGAAGTTAGTTTGAACACTTCTCCTATGATTTAAGATCCCCTGAGGAAGCAACTGTTCTACCCCACTGACAATAATTTATGTATCTAATGCTTTCGGCAGAGGAGGTACCATTACTGTTTTCCAATTACTTAAAAACACTTTAAATGAAATATATTATTATAATAGAGGAGGCAGAAATATAATAAATGAATCAATTAATTGCCTATATTTGTTTCTTCTTGATCCCAGACCTAGTTTACCTACCCGTGACAATGGTGAGTGGATGACTATGTGATCCACAAGAGAAGGAAATGGCCACAGTACGTGGTCAGTCTCTCAAGAGTTTTCAATGATTTCAGCAACTGAGCCTTTGCTGCCTTTTGTCTACACTACAACCAATTACCCAGTCACTTCTCCGTCCCATCACTTCCACTACATGGCTGTTGGAGTGACATTTCTAAAGCTCCAAAATGACCTGTCGCCTCACTATTTGGAAACCTTCCCAGGAATCCCTCTGACTGGACCACGTGGCACTTATTCCCACTCAGCAGCCTTCACATGGTTTCACCGCATGATCATCCTCCCAGCCCTACTTTCAAGAGGGCAGCACTAAAATCCTTTGAGTCTTTTTGACCCACAGCTGGGCGAATCATCTGGCATACAACAAGCAATTAAAAGAGCTGAAGGAAGGAAGGAGAACTCAAATGAGGGATCATCTTGGCTTCAAAGAAAAGGTAATAAAATTAAGCAGGCATGTTAACAGCCAGAAGGTGTCAGAATCGTTTGGAAAGTAGGTCGATTTGCTCTAATCACTTGTACTATTGACTGGGCATTGATGACAAAAAAAATCAACAAGCACTATAATGTTTTTAAGTGTTATTGATGATTCAATACTACAAAATATTTCTCCGTCAATCACAAAACCAATTTAACTGTCAGCCGCGCAGGGCCAGATGTCAAAAACATGTGTTAAAAGGCCCTAATATGCCATGATGTACTTGATTAACAACTAACTTGCAGAAATTCCAACAATGTGTTCTTGTTTTAGTCTTATTTGCATTGGCAAGCATTCCTTGTGCACTCATCTGGCTCTGCACAGGTTTAATCTATTTGTGCTTTATCACAGGGTGGGAACTAAATTACAGCGGCCTCCAGCTCCACTATCTGGCTTTCTCCACTGCTTATCTGCTATGTGGCTACAGCAAGGCTTGGCGAGACCAGCTTTAGAAATACAGTGGGTTCCGTCTCTTGAGCTTCTGTGTGTCAATCCTAGAACCAAGTCATATTCAATCTTAACTCACGGAGAGGCATTATTCTTTGCACTCTGTTAATAGTTGAATAAGTTCCTGGAAATTAAAAGGAATAACATACTCCCTAGGATGCCATAATCCAGGGGAAATGGTGAATACTGCCTGATAGATTCTTTTCATCAGCCAAAAGACAGCGAATAATTAAATGTACTTAAAAATCCATGAGTTTTTATTAATCATTTTGTTTCACAGCATGCCTTGTTACAGAGGGATCTGTGCAATTAAATGTGGATAAAAATGGGACTTGTGAGCAAAACTCCACTTAAAGGAGATTGTGATGTTGCCAAAAGCACAAAGATCTTTGAGTTTTAGTCTTATTCTATCACCTGTGAGCTAGGTGGCCTTGGTATAGTCCAGAGGAGGCAGCAAAGTCTAAACCAACGACCAGCTTAGACAGGGTGGAAACGGCTTCCAGGAGCAGTGGGTTGAGAAGTTAGCATGTGCCATGATTAATTAGCGATGTCTTCCTAGGCCCAGAAATGGGGCATGATGCTGTACATGTCAATATTTTTATTTCTGGGCAAGTCATTTCACCTCATTGAACCCATTTCCCATCTTAAAATGGAAGAGCATAGACTTAGTGTTTCTCAAAATGTAGCCTTCCGACCACTTGGATCAGAACCCTTCAGTATGTTTACAAATCAGAGGTTCCTGGGCTCCACAGCAGAGCAGCTGAATCAGAATCTCTAGGAAATAGGACCCAGGAAACTGTATTTTAAGAAACCTCCTAGATGATAAGATTATTTGGATACACACAAAGGTTTGATGCGTACTGGAATACTCAAAGTAAATCTTCTATTCTTTGTCCTAAGATAGAGAACCTTGCCAGTTCCTACTCAATGGTTTTATCTGTACTTTTCAAATACACTAGGCATTCTGATTTTGGCACCTTTAAAAAATTCCCTCCACATCCATTGCTCTATGTTTGCTTTTATTCTTCATTGCTATGAAAAGTTAAAAAACAGATGCAAACAGAATTTGGAAATAAATAGCTCACAAAGCCAGTATGCAGAGCTCTTTTGTTTGACTTGA